CTATTGATATAACAGAACCAGAACTTACTGGGATTCACTCCTATAAGTTAGTGCCACTAATTATGAATTTAGAATAATAATAATAAAAAAAAAAAATCTATTTAGTCGTTCTTAGTGTAATCTAGTCTTTTTTGCAATCAATTATCATTGCAGCCCACATTATTACAACACTTATGTTTTAAAGCATCTAGAAAATAGAAATACCGGCCAATGCCGATAATCGCATCTACAGTGGCTGGATATTTTAATGCTGATATTTTATAAACAATCTAGTTATCACAATATTATCACAATATTTACTCAAAATATAAACAAAAAACTAATATTGAAATATTTATCAAATATTTATTAAAACATAAATAAAAATACCACAAATATATTTTAAAAGTTTTTAAATCTATTTAATAACATTAACAAGACTGCCAATAAATGTTGAACGTAAAACTGCACAATAATTTGAGATTACACCAAATTACATGCTTGAAAACTGAAAATGGTGAAATTTTGGATGATTTATCAGCCTAGCTGATATATTGGTCTATCGCTAAAAGACATACAGTATTATTGGCAAAAAAACGAAAAAATGGCCAAATATTGGGCAATTTATAGTTCAATCGCTACTACATTTATTATTCATTTAGCAGACGCTTTTATCCAAAGCAACTTTCAAATTAAGAATACAACAAAGTGAAAGTGATGTTTTTAAAAATAAAATACTTTTTTTCAAAAAGTATTTACTCAAAATTTACAAAACAATAAAATGTTTAATATTAAAATATTTATCAACTTTTTATTAATATATATATATATATATATAATTTTTATTTAAAAAAATATTTTGAATTTATTTATTTGTTATAAAATTAACAAGACTGTCATTAAACATGGTACATGAACATGGTAAAAGGGTCCAATAATTTGGGATTACACTGAATTACATGCTAACCTCAAAATGGCAAAATATTAGATGAATTATCAGCCTCAAAACAGTCAAATATCAGTCTATTTATAGATCAATCTCTACTACTGTACCATTTACATTTATTCATTTAGCGTGAAAGTGACTGACATTTGAATAACACATGCAAAACAAGTGAAATAAAATACTTATTTCACACATTATTTACTCAAAATTCAGTAAATAATTATAAAAGTTTAATATTAAAATATTTATCAAATATTTATCAAATGTATTTGTATTTTAGAATTATTTATCAAATATTTTTATATAAATAGAAATAATATATACAAATATATTTAAACGTTTTTTTAAAAGACTTACATTTTGAACTCAAAACTGCATGGTACAATAATTTGAGATTACACTGAATTACATGCTTGAAACTTCAAAATGGCAAAATATTGGATGATTTATCAGCCTTGCAGAAATTTTGGTTTACCACTAAAAGTCATGTTTATCTGCCGAAAAACTTGAAATGGCCAAATATCAGTCAATATATAGGGTTAATTCCTGCAATCACCATATTATAAAATATTTTAACTGACACTTTCAGTAATCAAGTTTAATAACTTAAATGCTAAAGTATTATGCACCTGTTTCTCACCTTACACTCTTGTGTGGCCTCTTCTATGGAGCTGCACTCGTGATCTTCATGTTCCTCGCCCTGACACTGATCACAGATCAGCTCCTCGTCCTCCATACAGTACTGAGTCAGTTTCTCTCTATGCTGTCTGCACAGATCTCCATCCTCCGCCGTCTCTCCACCCTCCACGCTGCTTCCCACCTGCCGCAGCTGCCCTTCAAACAACGAGTCGAGCAACCCCTTCAGCACGCTGTCCAACAACTCGCGGCCGTAGCACTCCGTACAGCCCGGCCCGTCCTGGCCGAGCTCTTCCTGGCACAGCTGAAGGCAAGCCTGACACAGAGTGTGTCCGCAGGGCAGCAGGAGCGACCCTTCACCCTGGCAGCCTGGGCACAAGGAGTCGCTGGAGGGTGAAGAGGGTTGATCGTCTGACATTATGGTAGGATGTTGTCGTCTTCTAAATCAACGTCTGGTCTGCAGCTCTCTGGTTGTTACACAATCACTGCTATGCACTGGGTATCAAAGGAAATCCCCGTTTGGATAGTTGGTGGTCTATTTATAAGCGAGTTATTTTGAAGTGAGCTCTCTTACTTGTTTATATGCAATGGTGTCTGTTTGGAGAGTTTTGCTTGCTGCAGATCGCAGGGGAAGAGTCTGTTGCTGAGTCACTAGACCGTGTGTGTGGTCTGGCATTAAAGTGTAAAGTGATACCACTTTCCTCAAGTGCTCTAACATCAGTCAAAACCAAATCACTTTCATCTGCACCAATGCAAAATTTCACCACACTGACAGGAGCAAAGAGTTCCTCTGTTTATCTGCCAAAAAATTTTGACTACCGTATTATATACGTGTATATATATATATATATATATATATATATATATAATGTACCTAGACCACTTGTACCTTATTGCTTATTTCTAAAAGCATTTTTACCTTGTTAAAATTGTTGTAATATTAACAAGCTCAGGCTTGATGAATCCAAGAAAACAGCATTTATTTTTCAATTCTTCCACCACCTGGTCATTTCATGTATTGATCAAACTAACTAAAATAAATGTAATTTTGAGTAATTAGTCCCAGTATTTTTTCCCCCAATAAGAAGCCTGTGGACAAATGTTTACATGTGGTTCTACATGTTTCAGAATATATGTATAGCAATATATATCCATTACAATCCCTAAATTCAACCATAAGGTCATTCCCGGAAGATACATTCCAGGAATTTTACTATAGCAATAATAAATGAAGACAGCTTGGCATGCAACTCTCAAATGCAAAAACAAACATACTCAGGTGTGTTTTACCCTATACTTTATTTGCGTTTCATGTCAAGGGGTGAAAACTTGCCTACAGTAAGCAACTGAAGGAAACATACACAGCAGTTCAATCGACACAATCTGGAGAACCAACTGTACACACATCTGATCGCCATTACATCTTTCCATTACAGCCATTTAAACGGAGTGTTTTCCCCAGTAACGGTTAAAAATGCTGATTCAAGGCAAAACAAAATACAAAAAAAAACAACATTGACAGTCTTCAAAACGCAACCTCCTGCAGAAGCTCCTTAATAACAATAATTATAAAATTCAGTGAGGAATTTGATGTTTGAGATGCAAATTTTCAGTTTTCAATAAGTGCGTTTTTCAATTGAGATGGTAACATTTTAAAGTGCTTTTAAAAGATTCAATTCGGCAAACAAGACAACCGTTAGACAAATGAGCATTAAACAATAAAATAAAATGGGAGGACTGTTGAGTGATTTCCTCTCCGTTGCAAAACTTGCACTACACCAGATTCATATTGCACACAAAAGGTCTTACAACACCATCTTCTATATTCCCCCTGCTACTACAGTATTACAGTAATTTACACAGGACACTAGTAGGATCTGGATCCAACTGACATGGAAGAACAAAGGACAATGGAAACCAAGTACACTGGAATCTATATATACTTGTCATAAGAAAAAAATGACATTTGTAGACTTAAAAAAAAATGAACAGCAAAATCCGTATAATAAAACAGAAATAAATAAAACAGTATTATCTAGTTGCAAGTGCAACAAAATGAAAACATGACCTAAAATGTTTAAATAAACCCCGCCCACCATTAAATAGGCCCCACCCATTAACACGAGTCAATGAAAGGCAGTAAGGTTGTGCTGGATGAAAAGCATTGGAACAGTAACTGTAGAGAGCCAATCAGCAGGTCTAAATAAGCAAACGCAAAATCAAAAGGCAACCAAAACCACAACAGACAATCCACAGCCATGTTTTGGTTGTGTGAGCCAGAACTAAATGTTGTGTGGGTTTCCCTGGGTTGTTTGCAATGCTCAAACCACTGAAGATCCAATTGTCATTTCCAAAATGCCGAACATCAAAATATGGACCCTATAATGGACTAAACCATACCAACTAAAACAACCAAAATCAAATAAAAGCTAAAGACTCAGGAGTATAGGTATATTGTAACTTCAATGGCTGTTTGACCACTGCACAAACCTCACTCCAACAAAACGACAAAGTGACACTATACAAACTCTTTTAAATGTAAAACAAACTACAAAACTGTATTGCTATAACAGGGCGTCTATGAAGGAGAGGAGGGTGGGATGTGATCATTTCCACATTCAAGAATCCCTTAACACGGCTTGGCTCACCCAAAAATGAAATTTCTGTCATCATTTACTCACTCTCATGTCATCCCAAAGCTTTATCAATTTCATTTTTCTGTGAAAAAGATGTTCTTTCCGTAAAATGAAAACAAGGATTGAAAAGGAGCACCAGAAACATAAAAAGCAGCTTAAAGTATGACAACCACTGAAAATCTTGACATCTCATATGCATTTACGTTTTAACTCAAATATGGTGAATAAAAGACACGCTGTGGCAGGTTTGATGTCAGTGCCACCGAATGCCATTATGTCTCAATCGAATGATCACGGAGGGCAAGATTTGAAGTGAATAATGACTTAAATTTGCAGTTGTTTGACTTCAGAAGTCGCTCAAGTCATAATGGACTACCTCAATAGCGCTTCTTGTCCTTTTTGGAGCTTGAAATTGTCCATCTCATCCATTTTCATTTCAAAAAGCAGCATAAACATTTAGATATTCTTTAGTGTTTCATTAAAAAAAATCGAACAAGTTTGGAACACCATGAGAGTGAATACATTTTTCATTGTTGGGTCAATCTCTCTAATAAACTGCAAGGTTCCCTGCCTACCAAAAACAATATAACAAGAATCCTGTCTGGGAATATGGTAGGTAAAACTAAGAGGAGAAATCCACACACATGATTATTAATGATTTGTAGTGACTGAGCTACGGAGCAGCATCGATACGACAAACTCTACCTGCTTAAAAGTTAAATATTGAAATGTCAAAATGAGCATGTGACATCAGTATTATTGTTTTTTTTTTTACCTAGCTATGACTCATCTAAGACCTCAGGCTGTGGCATACACACAGGTCTTTATGCTGTAACAAGGAGTACTCGTTGTGTGTTCGTACAGTGCTTTAAATATTCCTGCAGCTCAGGTGCGTCTACATTAAGCAGCCTTTTCGTTCTCATTTCATGGAACTGCATCTCGTTTGTCTACTTTCAGAAACCTTTCATCTACTTTCAACATAATTTAAATCTTTCTTCTGTTCTGAACATGTCCATCATTACAAAAACTAGTTCAATGGTTCATATATACAGTTCAACTGTAGTGTTTAACTTACTTATTTAGTTGAAATGTTCAATAGAAACTACTCAAAGCAAGAGATAACAAGCTAACTCTCTAAACAAACCCAAAATGTGAATGTAAAAATAATGCAGCTAGAATTTTTTGTTCTTTTTTTCCATTTTTCATTCATTTCTGCCTTTTTTTCTTTTGTAATTTTGTAATACATTCAACTTGGCACAGTGAAGGACGTGGAGAGCAGGATGTGAGCAGAAACCTACTGTGCAAGAGTGAAGAGATACACGCTAATTACACACGTGTCCACTGGTGCTTTTTTTTTTTTTTTAGTTTTCTTTA